AGGGAGGGAGGGAGTAGTGCGGAATCGCTGACTGCTGCACCCTTTTGTGCACCGTTGCCGCCCTCGCCACTTCCTCTCGACCACTTCTCACGTCCCAATGAAATGTTGATAAAGAGGGGTCCGTCAGGCACTCCCTGGCCTCCCGGGTCCCGGCCCGGCGCGACCTCCGACACCGACGGCACTTATGGCTGCGGAAAGCCACTCTCGCTCCTGTGTGAATAAAAGATGGACAAAGCGCGTTGTTTTTTCCCAGTGTGTGGGTGGTATGACATGCCAAAGGGGGGTGAGATGTTATGTCGGCGTGAACACGGTGGGGTCGGGGTCGGGCGGGGGGAGGGGGCGTCCCCCGGCCTGCGTGCGGGACGGGGATGGATTGTATTGGCTGGCGAACACCTCTGCGCACGCGACGGCACGGGGCGGGCGCCACCAAACACACACACACACACACACACTCTGTCTGTCTTTCTGTCTGCCTGTCTGTCTGTCTTTCTCTCTCTCCCTCTCTCTCTCCCTCCCTCTCTCGCTCTCTCTCTCTCTCTAGCTCTGTCTCTCTCTCTCTCGCTCGCTCTCTATCTTTTTCTCTCTCTTACTCACACACGCACGCACGCACAACACTCACACACGCCACAGACACCGCCGCAGCTCGTCGCGGAGGTAACGAGGTTTGCCAGGTTGGCACGATTGCCTCTTTCTCTCTATCCTCGGGTCCCGCGAGCCGGTCCGGGTCGGATCAAAGGGAGGATAGCTCGGGAGGGTGTAGAGCTGGACTGATGTGGCTGGGGCTGGGTAAGGCTGGGCAAGGCAGGGCAAGGCCGGGCAGAGCCAGGCAGGGCCCACACAGAATCGTGACCCCACGACCCGAGGCAGGGCCACCCGCTGCCGCCTCCACCGCGCCCCCATGAGGGTGCACGGGTGGGACAATCGTTCTGTACCCCTTGACCTACCAGTCGCAATTTAGTGCGGCAGCACAATCTCGATAGGAGAGAACACATTCTAGAGAAAAAACAAATATAACTGTATTGAAGAAAAGTAACTTCCCCAACCAACATCAATCATTTGTTCGCAACGAAGAGGGCTCACAGCGCGTGGACGTACACCTGCGGTCGGCGCTCCTGGTCGCGGCCGTAATCGGCTCTCACGGCGAACCATCTCTAACAAAGCGGTCCTCCTCCTGTCTGTTGCAGAGTGCGGCTTGAGCCGACCCCGCCTCCAGACCCCGTGGCCTCACCAGCACCAAGATTTCCTTCTCCAGCTTCAAACAATCCTTCACAACCAATGTTAATTACCTGAAACGAAGGTGAGTGTGCAGAGGATTAGCCCCTTTTCTACGGGTGCTTCGTCGTTGCTCCTAATCTTAACGACTGTGAACGTAACGCCCTGTTTGTCGCATCGCAGGTTCTCCTCGGGGGACCTTTCCTCCGAGCTCGATGGCGAGGGAGAGCCCGGGGCCGGGGGCTACCCGCCGGACCAACCCGGCGGGCCGGCCCCACCCGGGCCTGGCGGACCGGGTGGGCCGGGTGGCGCCCCCAGGCCGGGTGCCGCCCCCGCGCCCGCCCCCGGGGCCGGGCCTGCTCCTGCGGGGGCGGCGGGGGCGGGCGCTCCGCAGAGCGGCGACCTGTCGCTCAACCTGAAGCCCAACTCGCGCACCACGTCGGCGCCGTCCTCGCCGGCCAAGACCCGCGAGTCGCTGCTGCAGCGCGTGCAGTCGCTCACTGGCGTGGCCAAGGAGCACGGCTCGCAGATTCTCGGCTCCGTGCAGTCGGCGGCCACCGCCGTCCGGCCGTCGTTCAACAAAGACCGCTGCTTCACCTTGCTCGTCATCGACGACCAGAACACTGACTGGTGAGTAACGGAGAGTAAAGTAAATTGCGATAAAATATGTACCCTATGCCCACGTCTCCCGAACGGGCAGGCCAAGAGCATAGTGCAAGATGAGTGGTTTAAGGGATCGTCTGGAAAGTATATCAGTTTTTTCTCGGATTAATTCGACAAAGTACGCGAGCCTGGCGCCTGTGAGACTCCGGGTAGCCCACCCCGCAACACATGCGTGCACTGCAGGCGAGATGTTGCCTACCCATCAGGCGCTAAGAGAGCCTGCACCACAGGCTTGGCAATTTCGTAACGGCGAATGACGGACTTACTTTCTGCGGATGATTCCTGAGCCGCGCTAATTTCTGGTTATACTATTCCGCATGGAGGCGTGCAAATGGTTTGCACACTCGCACGGGGCCATTAGGCGCCGGGGTGAGACTTGGTAGTAGGCAAGCCCACGACTGCATTCGGCACAGTAAAAGCAGAAAGAGGAGAGGGGAGCGGCTTAAAACGCCCACCCTGTCCTGTATAGCGCACTAAAGCACACGACGGGGGGGACTGCACCGAGACGATGGTCTGACCCTCTGCAGGGGGTGGCGGGGAGCTGGGGTGGAGGGGCGTGGCGTGAAGCAAGCGAGAACAAAAGGGTGCAGAGCAGTGAGGGCCCTCGGGCCCCGCAACAGGACAGGCAGTGGGTCAAGAGGACGACCCGACACACATTCGCCGTACCCTCGGCTCGGCGCAAAGCGTTTCATTCCAGCGCAGCGCCGCTCGCGTCGCCGCCCTCCCGGCCCGCCATGCCCAGCGCGACAAAGTTGTACTCTGCGTGCCGGCAAAGGATCCAACCCAGTAGTGTTGCGCCCAAAGAGAGGGGAGGGGTGCAAAATATAGGGTGTCCCTCCATGAAAGTTTAAGCACAACGACTTGGGGGGTATGGTTCCATATACCTCGGATTTGGATGGAACGTAGCTCGATTGCGAGGTCGTCAAATTATCTTTCAACTCCTGCCTCGTTCAGCCAAAATGTGAGATCGGGAACCATACCCAAGTAGCGCCCAAACTTTCACTTTGGGACACCCTACCTAGCTGACCCGCAACACTCTGAAACCGTCGGTACTTATTGGTGGTTAGCAACCGAGTTCTTGCTGGCGTCCATCACAAAGTAGTACTTGGCGGTGTCCATCGCAGGACAATCAAAAGTCTCTTTGTTGGCGTTTTGTTCCGGCACAACGAAGTGCGCGGCGGTGTGGTGCAGCCCATCACACAAACGCGGGAGGCGGCAGAGATGCCTATCAGCGGCGCCCATCATCCGCGCGCACTGTTGTTGTGCTTTCATTGGTCGGGACGCGTGCAGCGGGCGCACAATGGGGGGGGGGAGGGTGCCAGTCGGACTGCACGGCCATTATCTGCACTATCGGGGGGCGGACCGTTATCCGGGGGTGGAGTAGAGAGGGCCCCGAGGGGTAGGGG